TGACGGCGAGATTTTGTTGATTTAAATTCTCTATTATTATTAATGTTGAAAGCGTCGGATTTTGCCTGACGTATAGCAGAACTTTTAACTTAAAAATAAATTAGTTAAAATTATACGTCACAAAATTTGGCGCCCAACGTGGGGCCAGGCTCGAACCGAGACACGACTAAAATTGATTGATTGCCAGAAAAATTTTTTTGTTATTGTTGTGATTATATTGCCAGAAATTTGAATCTTAAATTTAGCCAGAGCCAAAGTTTATTTTGTCAATAGCCAGAAGATTCAAATTTCTTTCTTGCCAGTGTCAGAAAATTGTATATGTTGCCAGAATTTAAATTTTTTTTTTGTTGCTAACACCAGACATACAAATTGTATGTTACCAGCTGACAGAAAATTCAAAATTCCCATTGCCAGATTGTTTATTGATTTATTTTGCCAATGCCAGAATTTACTTATCGATAAATTATAAGTAAATTTATACCAAAAATTGTGTAAAATAAAATTGTAGAGTGCCTTTGCCAATTATTTAAAAATTTAATTTTCTTTGGGACTGTAAAAATTTCCTGCCGTGATAAAAATTGAATTCAACAATTAAAAATTTTTTTTGCTTGTCGAAAGCCAGTTTTGTGAGAAAAATCCGAGTAAAATTCCCCACAACTTGTGCAAAATCAAAAATTTCCCCAAAATTTTATGCCGAGCACATGTTAGACTGGAAATAAAATTCGAATTAGTCACGTGACTGTAAATAGTGCGCCAGACGGTCGAGAGAAACGACGCGCCGGGATATTTAAAATTTCGACAGCCGAGAGAAAGTTGCGCGCGCCAGGAAAGAGTGGCCTAGTAGTAGTAGTAATAGCGGCTACACACAGAGAGAGAGAACGAGAAGAAGAGGCAGAGGGAGAGTCGAGTCATCAGTCCGCCAGAAATTTAAAAATTTTAAAAGGGGGCCCTGCTTGAGTAGTCACGTCCTTTCTTCAAGACAGCACAGTGCCGTATATACTAATTGTGCACCCCCCTGAAAATTTAAAATTTTTCAAACTTAGAAAATTTTCTTTAAAAATTTTTTTTTGAAATGGCAAAGGCAATCGACGAGATGCAGGATTACAAGAGACGCATGAGCGAATTAATTGGAGTACCATGTGTAAGCCGAGCATGGGAAAAAATTAAAATCATGCAAGTTGGCCAGGTAGTGACGAATTTATTGAGACACCAATTGTGTATCAGTGGTTCGCCACAAGTTTTGAAGGAGAGACTATTGCGAGCGGAAATGAGGTTAGCCCAAATCGACGACTTAGATGTGCCATTTAGCGATCGATATGACTTGGGAAATTCCGACAAAATCTTTTTGGTGGAAGCTTTCCCAGAGCCAGAAATGGAGAAATTTCCATTTGTTAATTATCGTCGGGGTGGCCAGATGTCATCGGCAGATGACGAAGAATCAGATAGTGAGGCGAGTCAGGTCATCAAACGTATTAGTGCCAGGAAAACTCTAGGGAGTGGGAAAAAAAAAACCAAAATTGAAACACCGTACAGTAGGCATAGTCCGACCAGCGTTGTTTCGACCCCAAATTTTACACCCCCACCCCCAGTCATGACAACAGCCAGCATGACGACATTTTCCCCCACAACAACGAGTGCTCAGATGAGCATGACAACGAGCACGACCATGACAGCACCCCACACTATTCAGTCGGCCACGATGGCCCCAGTGGTCCAGAGCCTCCGTGATTCAGTCGCGCGTTTGGGTTTGTCACCTGAAATAAAAAAAATTATGGAGTATGCCAAACAAATGGACCGCCAGTATGCGGGAGGAGGGTGGGAGCTACAACAAAGCCAGTGTAGGGCCGAGGTTGCCGAGGGACACCATCTAATTCACCACCAGCAATCGAGATTCGTATCCCCTTAAAGAAATTCCCTTTTAGCCGAGACCTCACACAATCACCAAAGTGATGACAGAGTGAGGCCCACACCCGCCCCGAGGAGCCATTCAAGCAGAAATAGCATGAGTGACTCTAGTATCAATCATCGTAGAGTGCCAGAGAATGGAGAGCCAGCCTTAAATCCCGAAAACAATGAAAGTAGAAGTAGGGGTAAAAGGGACAAGGTAGAGAGACAAATTGAGTATAGTGGTAGCGAAGAAGGCCGTATAAGTAGTAGATGTAGTTGTAGAAGCAAAAATAGTGACCGACCGAACAAGAATAATAAAAGAGAAAGAAAAGTGGGGGTGAGCCGGAGATCAATTTTAGATGACTCTTCGAGTGAGTCTGAAGTTGAGAGCGACCTAAGTCAGAGGTTGAGCAGTAGTTAGAAAATCTAGAACGCACACCAGGCCGTAGATCCAAAGTGATAAAAACACTGAAAGACTGGGACCTAAAATTCTTTGGAGACGAAGACAATGCCGAAAAATTTCTGGAGAGATTAGAAGATTGCAGAGTCAACTCAGGTTTCTCAGACCAAGAAATTTTGCAAGCACTGCCAATTATTCTCCAGAAAACCGTTAGCAGTTGGTTTAGGTCGTTACGTCGCGAAATAAATTCGTGGAAGTCATTTCAAATGGCTTTCAAAAATGAGTATTTAGTAACAGTTGACGATGACGACGTCATAGACGAACTTCGAGCCAGGACACAAGGAAAAGGGGAGAAAATTTCCCCATATCTGACCAGTTTTCGACTAATCTTGGGTCACATGAGACGACCATTGAGCCAGAAACAACAGGTCAAGCTGGCCTATAAAGGCCTGACACCAGCCTACCGTCGTCAACTGGAACGACTCAATTTTGAATCGTTGAGCCAGATGGAGAAGATTTTGAGAGATTACGAGAAGGCCAAAGACTTAGACGAAAGATACGCCCCACCACTACCCAAAGAGAAGATGCGTTTCCCGTTAGCAGCCATGAAGGAGAAGAAGAGTAGCCAGAAACATGCGAAGAATGAGTAGGTGGCAGCACTAGAAAAGGAGTCGGAGTCGAGTGAGAGCGATCACTCTACAAGGACAGAGAAACCGAAGAAAAAGAAGAATAAAAGTAAGAAGAGTAAGAATGAAAAGAGTAAGCCAGAAGAAAAGAGCGTCGAAGCCATTAGTCCAGCGACATCAAGCCAGAAGCCAGCAATGGTCCAGGGTCAAGTTGCCAGTACTGCGCCATCCCAAGCAGTACAAATGCCAATGCAATTTGCCTACCCAATGGTTTATCCAGGGATGTTTCCACCTGGAATGAAACCAAATTACCCCAGGCCAAATGGTCCTAAAGGACCCAAGTCGGGGCAAAATGGTACACAAGCCCAAAATACCCCCAAAGAGTTCGTTGGGGCATGTTTTCACTGTCAAACTACAGGACATCGAGCCAGAGATTGCCCACAGAGAACCTGTTTTTCTTTCCAGCAACAGGGGCATTATTCAAACCAATGCCCTCTGAAGCCAGCCCAAACAGAAGCGTGTTTGGTGTGTAAGAGGCCAGGATGCAATTTTCTAAATTGTCCAAATTGTGTGTCAGTCAGAGCCGCTTTGGGAAACGGTGTCTGGGGGGCACAGAGCAGCCCTGTACCCCCCTCAAAAGTATAGTAGAGACGAGAGCCGAATATAATGAGCCGTGTGTAGTAGAAAAGAGAGCCGAGACTTTTGAGCCATGTAGAGTAGAGATAAATAGCGAGTGTAGAGACAGATTCACGCCTAGTTGTAGTTGGGTAAAAACTGAGCGAGAATTAGAATTAGAGAGAGGAGAAAAAGTTAAGAAAAGTTTGGAGCCAGCCATAGGTAAGGACGACATAACAGAGGACAAAGCGTTCAAATTCGTGCCAGAAAGTAGACAAGAGCGGTCGAGTGAGAAGAGCTCACTCTGCCGAAACCAAGTAGAGAAAATTGTCGAAGAGTGTGGGACAAAAGGTAAGGATGTGATCCCGGTACCTATAGTCCAGGGGAGGGGAGAGGCTGTGAGAGTCACAGCTGACCCGAACCTAAGTAATGAGGACATCGACGGATCTAGGACGGAGAACAGATACTTCTTCGACATGTCTATTGGCGACCACCATTACGAGGCACTTTTCGATCCTGGTGCTATGATTTCAGTAATCAACACCAGAGTCGCAGAGCCGTATAAATGCTGAATTTAGCCGTGTGATACAGTTGTAAGAAGTGCAACAGGAGGTATCACAGAAACAGCCGGTATTCTGGATCTTAACATAGTAGTCGACGGATACGCACAAGGATTCGCAGTCAAAGTAATGAACACTTTGACTCAGGACATCATCTTGGGCATCGACTTCTGTAGGGCCTGGGACATGGAAGTGAAGCTGAAAGAAGGACTGTGGAGAGTTTTCCAAGGAGAATGGTATGAGTTGGGCCAAAAGAGAGAGAAGAGGACGAACAACTAATATTTGCCGAATGTGCCGGTATTCCTGCGCTTGATGATGAACAAAAGAATATCATCCAAGCCATAGTAGACAAATGGGTATTGCCAGAGTCAGAAGAACACGGAATGACAGACTTGACGGAACATCATATACGTGTTACGGACGAAACGCCAGTACAACATGGCATCAGACGGATGTCGCCGGCCATGTTAACTTGGGCCCAAGGCAATGCTGCTCAATTGTACAAACTAGTACAAACTATATCATCGAGCCATCTGCCAGCCGTTGGAGGAGTGCGCCAGTAATAACGAGAAGAGGAGAGAACGATTTTCGACAGTGTAACGACTACAGAGATGTCAACAAAGTTACGATCAAAGATGGGTATCCACTACCATCCATTGATTATATTTTGGATAAGCTCCGAAAAGCCAGATATTTGTCAAAGGTAGATCTCAAGCTGGCGTATCACCAAATACCAATGGCCGAAGAGAGCAAGAAATACACTGCGTTTGCCATACCTGGGTCAGGACTGTGGCAGTTTCGCCGCATGACTTCGGGTATCTAGACGACATCATAGTAGTCACAGACACTTTTGAAGAACATGTTAAGTGGTTGGAGTTTGTCCTCAAGAAATTGAACAAGGCGAAGTTGATAATGAATCCAGATAAATGTGAGTTCGGGTGCTCCCAAGTAACTTACCTGGGTTACTTATTGGACAGAGAGGGTTTGAGGCCAGATCCGAGTAAGACAGAGCCGGTGAGAAATTATCCAGAGCCGAAGAACGTGAGACAACTCAGACGTTTCTTAGGCATGGTCGGGTGGTATTCCCGTTTTATTCTAAACGACAGCAAAATCAAAATACCATTGTTAAAGGTTCTACGCAAAGGCCGAACGTGGGAGTGGGAGGACGAGCAACAAGAAGCTTTTGAACAGCTGAAAAAGAAGCTGACATCTGCGCCAGTCTTAGTCCGACCTGACTTCACAAAGAAGTTCACAATTTAGTGTGACGCCAGCAACTATGCCATTGGAGCCGTACTGACGCAAGAGTTTGAAGACGGAGAGCATCCAATAGTTTACATCAGCCAAGTCTTGACGGAGTCAGAGAGAAACTACAGTGTGACAGAAAAGGAGTGTCTGTCATTATTGTGGTCGATCAAGAAGTTCAGGCCGTAAATTGAAGGGTGTAAATTCCATGTGATCACGGATTACAGTGCCCTAAAATGGCTCAGGAACTTAAAAGACCCTACAGGCCGTTTAGCCAGGTGGGCCTTAGAAATGCAGCAATGGGACTTCGACATAGTTCACAGACGAGGTGCACAACATCATGTCCCTGATGCATTGTCCAGGCTTCAAGAAGACGAAGAAGAGTCAGTAGCCGCGTTTGAATCCATTGAGGATAAGTGGTACCTCAAACATAAGGTGTCTCAAGCCGGACCAGTCGGACTAATAGGCCAAAGAATTGTTGAGAGGCCGTGGGCCGTAGTAGCAGCAGATACGATGGAGTTCCCGCCGAGTAAGAGAAATTGCAAGCACCTGGTGGTGTTCCAGGACTTGTTTTCGAGGTTGATCGAGGTGAAGCCATTGAAGTCAGCAGACGGAAAGTCGGTAGCCAGAGCATTCGAGGAGTTGGTCCTATTCAGATGGGAAACGCCAGAGTATTTACTAACCGACAACGGTAAGGAGTTCGACAACAAAATTCTAAAGTCAACACTCGAAGAATATGGAGTCAAGCACATCACAACGCCACCTTACCATCCGCAAGCCAACCCAGTCGAAAGGAGTAACAGGACTCTGAAAACTATTATCTCCACCTTCATTGGTGCCGATCATAGAAACTGGGATCTTCATGTTCATGAGTTCCGCCATGCTGTGAACACAGCAACACAAGCGGCCACGAAGACGTCTCCTGCGTTCCTGAATTACGGAAGACACCCCAAGCCAGTGAAGAGCCTACGAAGAGAAGTCGAGGGAACGAGAAAAGTAGTTAGAATAGGGCAGAAGAGTGGGTAGATAGAATTAAAAGATTAGACGCGTTAAGAGACATGGTGGCCAGACACATTGACAAAGAACGAACGAGACAAACACAGTATTATGACAAAGGTAGGAGAGAAGTGACTTTTAAAGTAGGCGATTTAGTATTGCGGAAAAGCCATAAGTTGTCCAGTGGGGCACAAAAGTTCGCGACGAAACTAGCACCGAAATACGAGGGTCCATTTGAGATCGTCGAGGTCCGGTCGCCAACTGTATTCATTCTACGAGATGAACAAAGCCGGCGAGTCCCTAAAGTCCATATTACCGACCTGAAACCATACTTACCTGTCCTAAATTCATAAAATGTCATGTTCTTGTTGTGAATAAAGAAATTGTTTTAGAGCGAGAGGGGAACCAAAGCCAGAGAGAGAAGTCGAGGAAGAGAAAGAGAGAAGCCATGTCCAGACAAAGAAACACCCGCAGCCAGAAGTCATCGAGCCGTCATCGAGTGTCGTCCGATTTCATGGGACTCGAATGGGAAACATCCCCATCCCCACCACGAATTACTCGCCAGGGAAGAAGCCAAAGTGGCTATCGTCCAGTACAAGTGTTTCACCATGGAGACGCCCAAATGAGTAGGCCGACTATCCTATCCTTCCCGATTACGGAACCAACATCCCAGGAACCACTAGTGGCCAGGAGAGACACCGTGATAAGAAGAAGAGACGATCACCAAACGGCGGAGAGAGCACAGAGGCCAGAGGAAAAGGAGGGTCCGATGGGGGGACAGATAATGTTCGTAACAAAGTCAGAGGACTGGGCGGAATTAAATACGCTGGAGGAGAGAGGAAAGAAGGAGAAGAAGAAGACAATTCGACCGGACGGAGCAGAGGTGGTCATACCCTACCGTTGGCCGGCCGACCAGGGCCCAGAAGAGAGTCTCGAAGCGTATGAAAGCAGATTGGCTGAATACGAACTAGAGATGTTCCTAAAATCAAAGGAGCCAATGGTGACGGTAGCACTAGAGAAAGCCAGGGCCAAGCAGAGAAAGGCGCTCAGAGAGAGAAGCGAAAGGCAGTGGACTGCCGACGATCTAGAAAGCCAAACGCCCGCACCACGAATGAAGAGGTCGAACAGCCCTCAACCAGGACCTCCGACCGAACCGAAACAGGCGCTAGGAGCCAGACCAAAGGAGAGACCTGAGACACCAACACTCAAGCCAAAGGCCAGGGGAATAGTCTTCGGTGGTTTGACGCTAATTCCGACGGAAAGGTCGATAGATCCCCCGCCCTACAGCTGTTTTAACTGTTGGCGAGGGGGGCATAACGCTGAAGATTGTCGTCAACCAAAGAGGTACGACTACTGTTGGAACTGTGGTCGACGCTTCACCACGGTAGAAAAATGTCCTAGGTGTGCTAGGGCATACGCACGTTACATGGGGAAAACATATAAAGAGGAAACGAGGAAAGAGGAAAGACCATTGAGAGAAGAAAAAGGAGAGGAAACCAGTGAGGAAGTTTTCTCGACTGCAGACTCACAAAGGCAAGAAGTTGACCTAAATGATGAGCAGGATGTCCCAGAGCAGGAAACAGCCGAGGAGAAGGAAGTATAAGAGGAAAAACCAGATGTCTTAACTCAAAGTGTTCTGACATTAACAAAGGCGCTTGAGGGTCTGCCAGCCGAAACCATAGACCTAGCAATACGCCAACTCCTTAAGGAAAGGGAAAGTAGGTTGGAGAAAAGAGTCCGAAAATGAGCCAGAGAGAGAATAGGAGGGCCAGAAAGAGAAGAGATTGGCCAGAGAGAGGAGAAATAGGAGGGCCAGTAGAGAAGTGAAGGTCAGAGGGAGAAGAAAGAGGTGGGTCAGATGAGAGAGTAGGAGAGCCAGTAGAGTTGAAAGGCCGGAGAAAGGAGAGTCAATAGAAAGGCCAATTTTATTTTGTTAACTAAACTTGTGCATTATAATGTTGATATTTAATTAAATATTACTAAAAAATATATCGTAAGACTTTTTAGAATAATAAATATGTTTTAATACATTAAAATAAAAGTGTTTTTTCATAAAATACTTAATTTTGTTTCATTTTTAGTGGTTCGCTGGAAAAACGACTTAAGTCATTTGTTATAAAATAATGTTATTAAAGTAGCAAAACATTGTTTACTCGACCTTCTTTTCTTTTAAAGAATTCTTTGATAATACCTTTGTATTGGGAAAAATGATCGATATAATTAATACGTAAATTATATTAGTAATTCGTTTCCGAATCTTTAATTTAATTTTTTCGTCAAAAACTTAAGTCGACTTAGGTCGTTTTTCTAGCGAACGGCTCAATTCATACTCAACTTTTTATTTAAAAAACACCTGGGCTAAGAGGCTCAATAAATAATAATTTAAACTAAGAATGTGGTAAAATTTCAAACACTATTCTTACAGTTATGAACTAAATTATTTTTAAAAAATGTGATAAGATTGTCTTTTGTTTACTGTTATTTAATAATTTCACACTATGAACTTTTGTATTTAAAAGAAAACATTAAAAGGTTAAAACAAGTTTAAGTAAAATAAAAAATTACAACACATTTTAAAGATGAATTATTCGTTTAAAATTGACGAGGTTCCATCACCAGAAGTTCCATCTATTTCTGATGAATTACGTAAAGCAAAACTATATTTACAAAGACATAATGGAGAATCTGATGACAGTTTGTACGTTTCTAATATACTTCGATCATAAAAAGCAAATAATAAAGTTGCTAAATTATAAATATTTTCAATATAAAGTTCAAAAATAAATTGTGATTTAAATAATTCCATTTGAACTACACAATCTTTGTAGGTATGACCACTTGAGTAAATTATTGAATAAAATTCTTTCTGAACGACCAAACAATGCTTTAGATATTTTTGAAGAATATAGTAAAAATTTGAAGCAGGAGCGATTTATAAATCAAGCTGATTATCTTCAAAATATTTATATTCCGCCATTAGAGTATGAAAACGCAAAAAAACAAATTAAAATTTTTGAGGTAATTGCAATACTTCTATTTAATTTCTATATATAATTGTTTTAATATTTTTTTACTTTTTTAACATCTCTTCAAGTTGCTTGAAATGTTAAAAAATTCAAGGCGCTTGTAATTTTTATTTTGTAAATAGTATCTAAAAAAACATTATATTTTTTAATTGTTAATATTGAAATCTATCATGGAAAGCAGAAAGTCGGGGACTTTAATAAATTGCAATGCACACGTCTGTTTTTAATTCAAAATCATAAATATCGACATACTGAAATTTCTTTTTTAGTTTATAAGAATCTGAAGATATTAGTTACATGTATTTAAGTACTTTTCGAAAAATACTAAAATAGCATAATTTGGAGGTTAAGAATCACTTGTAGTTAAAAATTTATGTACTTCGAAATTTTCAAAAATCTTTAGTAGATGAATTAATCTTTAAAAATTGAAAAATTCAATTATATTTAAATTTATCACGAGATAAAACACTTAAAAAATTACCAGAAAAATAATCATTTCTCTCAGGTAGGTTTACAATGCACAAATAAATACGCTTTCATCTCTCTAAAGTTTACGTTCAGAATTTCGTGAATTATATTTTCTGATAGAAAGAAAATTATGTAAATTTAGCCAAAAGAAAGAAAATTTTTAACAGATAAATCAGATTGTTGTCTGGCTTGGAATGCTATAAGGAGCATTCGATGCTTGATGAAAAAGAAAAATTGCATGGGATATTCCTACATGGATCTTTTAGGAAGCTTCGTCAGCTTCATAATTCCAAATAATTTCCCTACGATGATTTATTTAGAATTATACTAATAAATAAACAGCTTCTTTGGGTAAAAACTGTCGATAAAAATTCACGGGTCTTAAGAAAAGTATATGTTCTACAATGGTACGGGGTTTTGGTAATTTGCGAATAGTTCTAACCTTCTGCTCTAAAATTTTGTTACACATTTTGGTTCACTGAATGATCAGAAAATCTATTTCTAAAAATCTAAATACGCATTTCTCCAAATTCAAACGTAAGAAAAGTTCACTTAGGCATTGGAAACAGTGTAAAGATGTTTCTTTTATTATTCAAAATTACACTTAAAAGAAGTTGTATTTCAATCAACTAAGAAAATTTCGTTCGTTCAACCGAAAATTATAGTTCGTTTTGGCGACAAATAAGTGTTAAATAGTTACTTCAACTGCATATTAAGTTGTACAAAATACAAAAAAACTTGTCTCAAATTAAGAGCCTAGTTAAATTTACTATATTCTAATATTTTAAAAAACTACAAAGAAATATTTGAAGACACTGTGATGAATACAGTTCTGTTTACATTTTCGTATATTTATATTAACCATGAGAATAGCAGCAATAAATATAAACTAACCAGTTTATTAAAATATTTTGCATAGTTATCCTGACTATAAAGCATAGAAAAACTTACTATGCTGTTATATTATAAATAACTATCATATGCGATTTTTAACTATACTATATCATAAATATTTTTTGCTATTCTTTTTTTAATATTAACAATATAATGTATTTAACCTTTAAATAAATATAATAAATTTAAAGAAATCATTTGAATAAAAGAATAAGAAAAAGATAAATTATAAGAAATAATAATATTTATTTTTCGAAATTCATGATTTAATTAGTGAATTAGTTGAATTCAGAATATAAAACAATAACGTGTGATGAATAGTGTTTATAAATTCACATATACTATTCTTGTTCTTTGCTCCCAGTCGTCTTCCTGGCTATGACCAAATACTCAACATACCTTATTTAATTAATAATTTATCAATAATTACATTTGTCTATAATTTAACGATGCTAATTCTGAAGCGTGCAACACTAGAGTGACTCTGTCTCGCCGGTTTGTCGTGAATATCACGTAACCCGGAGCGGCGTCTATGTCACTTCTGGTGGGGCGCTTTTTAAATTTCATAACAGGGACCATGATTTGGTTTTGTAGTCCACAACATTTTACCTTCTGTTACACTCTTTCCCTTCGAAGGTGTTGTTGTCAGGAATACTCAGGAGCTAAGGGGGTTTGATGTTAGGATTAGACGTCTCGTTGACCTCAGCTAAGGCGTTTTTCTAATGAGAAACTTTTGTAACCAATTTGGGTAGTCTTGATGATCATCAAACTTGGCTTTCACCCGACGTTTCAGGTCATCTCCTCCATCAACCAAATAACGATGATGTTTTCTCCTACTTACTCATCTTATCTGTTTTCGTAAAACAAAACCCTACTTGTTACAAAAACTACGTCTTGGTATCTGTAAGTAAGTTAAATAGTATATTTCGTAACGAGTGCGAGCAGTTGTCAATTTTTGAATGAGCACTTTTTTTGGAACAAACTGTAGGCGAAGCGAAGCTTCGCCTACAGTTTGTTCCAAAAAAAGTGCTCGTTCAAAAATTGGCAACTGCTAGCACTAGTTACGAACGATATTTTTCATAACAAGGTGCAAAAAAGTGCCCTTTTTTGCACCGCGTTATAAAAAATTATTTTCCTAATAGCTTTCCTGACCTGTCGACCAATTCAACCGTCGGCGAATCCAGAACTCTTTTAATCCTAGTTAATCCCACATATTTATGAGGTAATTTAGCTGAGTAACTCTAATATTTATTATTCAATTTTTTATTTGGTTAATAAACCTCCAAATCTTCTCTTAACTTTATTGTCGGAAATTTTCTCGAATTCGTTTCATCCAAAAGGAGAGTGAGCCATCCACAGTCTCATTCAATTTATTTTCGGAAGACAAAAGCGTCTGTGTTTTAAGAAGGCGGCTATTATTCGTTTAACGGTTTGGTTAACCTCATGATCAAAAAACAAGACCGACATACTACCGAAGTCGGGACAATTTCAAGTTACAAAATATTACCAAAATAAAATAATTAAAAATTCTAATTTTCTTTTAAATCATTAATAAAATCAATCACAACTTATTTTTTTAAAGTTACAACAAGCTATAAAGAATAAAATCCCAACATGCCCCACGTTTGAAGCTAAATAAAGCAAAATAAAAATGATTGATTATCAGGGACCATGATTTGGTCTTGGGTCGACAACACCCATACCTTCTGTCACAGTCTATAATGATATGTATTGATTTATTGTTTACGGTTTAAGGATACACTGATAGAAAAGTATAGTCGAAACATCCATATTTCTTTGTAAATTGATCATACTATATTACTAATAAAGATTTTTTCAGTTATTGAAAATTTTATTAAATATATTATTTTCTTCTATTAGCCTAAAGTGCGTTAGTCGAATAGCTTAATGCCTAGCCAGTTAGCTAACTATCTTGGCGTTTAGCTAAATGACGGATTCTTCTATTTGCCCACGACGTATACACGTCATCTACACGCCAGGGGTTAAGAATTTAATTTATTTTCGGAGAAGAAACCGACAGATCAGCTCAGTCGGATAGATGCCTCGCTTGGCGGTCGTTTAAGGACCAAGGGTAAGTACCCTTGGTTCGCGCCTATTTGGCTTGGTATTTTTCCGGCACGTGAGACAATCTGAGCGGGAGGTTTGACGTCGAGGTATAATGATGTGCACCGTCGATTCTTGTCCAGTACACACCATTAGAACTCGACTGTCGATAAACCGGTTGTACTCAGGAGAGGTTTTCTACAGTTTCCCTCTCCACTGGCGAGAAAACCCATTAGACGGGTGGTCCAGGCAAATGCGAGTACTCCTAATTTTCAAGTCGCTCTGTAGGCGCAAAATTTAGTATTAAATATAGAAATAGAAAAATATTGTATGAGAGAAAAATTTGTAAAGAGACACTTGTATAGCCAAGTAATGTAGGCTGAAGACAGGTGTATAAACCAATAAATATTTTCGGAGAAGTTTTGATAAATAACCCCTTTAGATTGATTTCGGAATCCATCTTTTTATCACTGCGCATCCAAAGTCTAAAGTCTAGTTAAATATTATTAAAACATTATTTACAGATGTCTAAAGTTCAAGAAGTAGAGAAACACATAAAAATAGTTCAAGAAAAGGAGGCGGAAATCGATATTAAAGATGCAGAAATTAATTTAATGAATCTATTATATTTCATTGAACAAGCTGATGTCGGTTTAACTCGATCTGAAATATTAATATTAAATTTGGGTATACAACATTTAATTCGTGAAGCTCCAATTCAAAATGTCAGGTATGATTGATGCAAAATTTTTTATGTTTATATAGATTATCAAAAATCATAATAATATAAAATAAACTGCTTCTAATCTTTGTATTTATATTCCTTTTAATCTTTGCTCTATTTAAACTTTTTTGTGTATAGGGACTTTTAAAAAATCTGCTTAGATACATTGGATTTCGCAATCCAGGTTTATGTGGGGTTGGTGTAAAAGGAAAAGAATAATAAATAAATCATTTTAAGTTAAATAGCTGGCGATCTACTACCAGCTTCAACACACTAAAGCCCGTGACCCTTATTCTGGAGCTCTTTTGTCTACACTCGGAACTGTCGTGAAACTTTTGTCTTCAAGATTAGTGCTCCATCTCTGTCGCGAATACGATTCTTCCTCTTCTACTTGGGTAAGACAATCCAAGTCGTCGATCTTCAGCGTTACCCTTCGATACACAGATTGCATCTTTACCATGCCTTCTACGGATTTGGTAACCTCGGCAACGAAGACCTCTTTATTGCAGTCGACTCTGATTTTAATTAGGTGGTCTCTCTTTTTTGTATCCCTTCAGACTGAGAACGCATGCCAAATCAAACTCCGATTCATCGGCTGCGGCATGCTTCTTGTTTGACTCATTCAGCAGAACTTGGGTGTAAAATTTTCTGTTTACGAACTACTGACATGGGATACTCAATCTGAATTCTTTGATTCCATTCTTGCTGTTTACTGGTTTTGGTACTCGACGCCTTTTTGCCTGTGATTGACCTAGAGCTAAATAATTCTTCGAATAATTTGACTCTTGGCTTACGGTCCTACTACTTTCAACTAAATTAATTAATTGCACCACGTCATCTAAAAATAGAAAAAAGAACTTAAATGACATATTTGAATTTATATTTTTAACAAATTTTTTTAAGTCAATTTACTAATATAAATAAATAAATGTAACGCGATCTGAAGAAAGGAATCTTAGATTCATCACATTTTAGCTTATGTTTGTGATTTTTGAAGTAAAAATACACGAAGATCAACTCTTAATTCAAAACACTGTAAAATTATTAAATTCAAAATATTCAATAAAAACTGATTTTGATTTTACATAATTAAAAAGGAACATCTGATCAAAGTGAAACAATTTCAAATATAACCTAAAATATTTTTGCTCAGACTAAGATTTTTATACATACATAATGTACCACTTTCACTTTTTATTTGACTTTTTTACGCTCATCATAAATAATATTTAATTCTTTAATTGTTATCTCATCATATACTGACTTTACTTCGCTTATAAAACCGATTCTTTCTGGTTTCCTTTGATTTTCTAAAAACGCCAACTTTTTTTATCAATTTGCATTTTTTGCAAAATATCAGAAGAACTACCAATGTCAAATAAAAGGCTACGATTTTTTTCGAATTTCAATTCCTTTAAATGATTGCATTGTTGACCCGATCTTTTTTGTAAAGTGTGCGAATCAGCATAAAGAATCTCGACTTTTTTAATGCATTTGTGAACTTCTTGTGTTGGTATTCCAGCTTTTTTCCAAAAAATTATGCATTCTTTTACTTACAACTAATAAAGCACTGTTATGTATTTGTATTTGTGTGACGACATCTCCAATGAGAAAAATACTTTCGCGTAAAAAATAATTATTGCACGCCATTGTTAACGTCAATTAATCCATAACTGAATTTACGTTATTTTAAGAAGACTGGAAAAATGACAACTGCTAACAAAATGACACAAGACTACAAACCAAAGAAAAACAATGGTATAGATCGACCATCAAGATATAGATATAGACTTTTGCTGTTAGTCGATATATGTCGTTAATTACAGCCGCAAAAATTTAAAACTTACCTTAAAAACTTATACTTATTAAAAACTTATATACTTATAACTTATGCTTATAAGATTATATATAATAACAAAAAAGCTCCTTCTGAAAAACCTGACAGCTTAATTGACTGTTGTCAATTGTGAAGAATAGATATCGCTATTAGAAATAATCTCAGTATGCTTAAAAACACTTGTACACAAGTAATTTAATGTAAAAAGTCTCCATTTTAAAAATTTGACAGCTTTATTGATAGTTGTCAACTGTCAATATTATATAAGTTTACTTAGGTTTAGCTGAGTGCTCTAAAAATATTTGTATATGAATAATTTAATGTAGAATCTGTCAAAAAACAAACCTCAACCACAGAAATAACAACTTAGAAAGGAAACATTTTGATAAAACATATTGGTATTATACTGTAGAGCCATCTATCAAAAGAATGTGTAAATTTTTAAAAATCTACAACTTCATGCATATGTACACCCTGATGCTCTAATGCCTTCCTTCCGGTTTTGATGGCGTTTTAAAAAATCAAAACAACATTTTGATAGATATGTCACGACTTTTTAAAATGCCGTCACAACCGGAAGGAAGGCATTACAGCATCAGGGTGTATATGATTTTCTTACAATCCAAGCCATTTTACTGGTAACGTTACTTCGTAAAGACTTCCATCCCCCCGCGTTATAAATTGTAGTAATAAGCGTTCCCCCTCCTCCTAAAGTGGTACCTTAGTTTATAGATGGTCCCTCTTCCAATATTTTACCTTGAACGACTGATTTGATTTTGATCCTTGAAACTGTTTGAATGATGGTTCCTGGCACAACATTCAACTCTTTTCTAGTTTCATTTCTGCTGCAGGAGTCTTTTGCCAACTATTTTCTTTCAAAAATTCAAGAAGTGTTTTATTCCATAATACTGTTGGTTCTTTGGAGTTGTTGACATTCTTTTAAATACTTATTTTCAATTTACAGGTATGATACAAAAATCTCTGTAGCCAGAAAATATATTTTTGCTTATGTTGACAGCAATATTCTTAATGCTTTTCTCAAGCAAGCTCGGAAGTTATGATTTTGGAAAAACTTCTTTGTGTTTCATTTTCTAAATTTTAAGAACATTTCTCTTAGAAATTTTCATGGGACTGTTATTTCGAATTATCGAATGTTCATTTTTTTATTCTAAGGTTGAACAACATTAAAGTATATAATAAATAATAATACAAACAATATTATTATGTCTTTTTGAAATTACTCATTATTTTAGTCTGAATTTTATTTTTTTGAATTTCTATGGATAATGTCAATTCTTATAATGTTTGCAATGCGATTAAAACGAGTCAGCTACATTCTCTTGGCTTTTATAAATAATATGAAAGGAGTATTATCCGGTTAAATATTCTAAATATTATTTTTATACTTACATCCTTAGAAGTGATTCATTCACAATAATTCATGCACTCGATAAGATTTGTTAGTTTATTAACTAGTTTTAAGTTATAAGAAGCGGAAATTGCAAATATACAATTATTTTCTTTACTTAAAAGTTAGATTATTTCAAACATTTCACACATTTCTGATTTGTACGTCATAATATTATGTAGACAGCAACGTCAAAATGTATATGAAGTACTTCTGATATTGTTGAGTTAATTAAATTTTCTTTAAGCATATGACTGACGATCATGTATTTAAAATTTACAGATTTTGGGGAAAAGTTCTTGGCAATCCAAAAAATTATTACGTTCTTGAGGCCAATTTGAAAAAAGAAGAAATCACTAATAGACAAAAAGTACTATAAAATTTATTGATCTAAATATAGTTTAGGGGAGAATAATGTAACTACGGACACTTAAGCTTTTTAGGCATACATTGTAAAATATTGATTAAAATTTTGAAACTCCGTAACTCAAAAAACATTTTATCAAATTTAATAATAATTCATATTTAGAATTCTACTAATAATAGTAACATTTTGTCAAAATTTCGAGAAAATTCATTTTTTGACCTGGACAGTTGAGGATTTTGCCCCATATGTTTAATTAATAATAGCAATAATTTTAAAAAATATTGTGATTTCAGAAAGTTACAAGTAGAGAGGAATTAGAAAAGAAAACAGGAAATACAGAAGGAACAGAAATTAATACGCAATACGAATCTACCGATACAGAAGCTTTAGAGGAAAGCGTAACTGAAATTTTAACAAAAGCAAAATCAGTAGAGTCAAAACGGAAATTACTTCTTTCAGATTTACCAAAAAATGTATGGCAACCTTTTGTACAGATTCCTCCTGAACCTATTGGAATGGGACTTAATCAAAAGGTACACACTACTGTCAGAAATTATTGGTACAGCTACACGCGCTTGGCATAAAAACATACCAATCTTTAAATCACGATTTTTTATTCATAATTAATGAATGAATGAAATGTTTTCTCAGTGTAGTTTTGTTTGATTTTAAAAAGATTTAATTAAGTTTATTCTGAAATGTGAGGAATACATTCAGGTAAATTTAATAAGTGACAACTTATTAAATTTTGTGCTGGAAACCGAATCAGTGTTACCAGAATTGGTGCTTTTTTGAAGGTCTTAAAATTTCAAATATTAAAAACATTTTACAATAATAAACTGAGTTCAAAAATAATTCCATCAAATTATAATATTCAAATTTATGTCATATATTGAATGATAATTGAATGAACGTTTTATAATTGCTTATTTTTTAATTTAAAAAGAATAAAATAATTTCACATGCTAAAACATTTTTTTTATTTTGGTAGTAGAAATTATAAGCTTTTGAATGGTATAAATTAACTTGGTTTTAGAGCATAATTTTCTTAATTTTTACCTTGGTCTTCTCTACGCAATAAAACTCATATTATTAATAATAATTATTATCATTACGAGGTTTATTAAGGAATAATTTGGAAAAATGTGAAACGCCGTTCGTTGAAAAGTATTCAAAATAACCGATTTCAACGTTTGAAGAAACTTAAAATTTTAAAAACTGAAATTTTCATTTAGATATTTTTGTTTCTTGAAGTTAAAAATATAGAAATAATGCTTTGTAGTAATTCAAAGTAGTGTTACGTCTTTAAAAATGAAGTTTTATTAGGAACGCCATTTCGGTGTTTTTGTCAGTCTGGTCAGTCTAGGCTTGACCTTAACTGAATGGAACCGGAAACCCTTCATACATACTTGTATCATACTATTTCTCTATAACAACTATACTAACGTTGTTTCTAGGTTTACTTTGTTTGCAATTCACCTGGAATAGATAAATGGATTGAATTACCCATTGTTACTCCACAACAAATAGTTGCATCCCGTTCTATTACCAGAGCATTTACTGGAGACTTGAAAACAGAGGTGGGTATAAACAATCATTACATGAGATAAATTTTCATCTTATCATATCTCAAAGATTTCGGTAGAACATCCATAGACATACAATTAACTTTTTGAAAATATCTTTTTCAATTACACTACCACACAGTCAGAAATTGTCGGTACGAACTACATTCCAACAAAGAAAAATTGCTGTTAAAATTAAATTAACATATTATAATTTTAAAAAACTGATAAAAACTTGGTTCTTGGATTGTTTGAAAGCTTATAAAATTTTGTGTCTATCGATATATAAATAAATATTATTTTATGTTTTTGAGAAATTTTATCACCTAAGAGGTTTTAAATTTTTTTTCTATTTTCGTGCAATATGATTGTGTGGCTGAACATTCTAGAAAAATTGAAAAAAAATTAAAAACTCCTACAACATAATCAATAGTTCGAGTCCGTCTCATTTTCTTAAATTATAATTTAATATTAATTAAAAATTCCATAATTATCAATGTTAATTATTAAATATTTAAATTTATCTTATTCAAAACTTTATTGATCATATAGCAGTTTATTTTGGTGAAAAGAATTTAGTTTTTATGATTTATTCTAAACTGTTATGAAGACTGTTTTGGATTTTTCAATAAGAATTGGAGGCAATATCAATATCTTTTTTTAAAATTAAAGGCAAATTCATAAGAAATCGAAATATGCTAATAAAATTTTTCGCACAAAGGAGTAAATAAACAAAAAATTGTTTAAAAACATTTTTTGATTTAAAAATACGTTGTATAGCCTTCATGCACAAGTATAGTACACGCGCGCAAAAAAATGTACACAGTTATTAATTCATTTAGGCACATTTTCCGTTTAACATAATTCCATAGGAAAAAAGTCAAGCTTCAGATATATGCTATTAAAAATAATCAAATTGTCGCATTGCATTGATAGAAACACTAGAAAATATTCTTAATACAACAAAATAGGTCAGAATAATTTTTTTTAATCAATATTTTAATCAAAAAGCTTGTTAAAAATGCTGTAAAAAACACTAGTATAAATTTAAAATCGATGATATTTTCTAAAAGTTATGATGAATTGAAATTCACTGTGCAGTGTGAAAGAAATTTTTTAGCGGTAATACTTGGCGAATTTTTTCCCTTATTAATCTTAATTTTCCTTTTATTTCAACATGGAATCCTTACGGAAAAGAATTAAGAGACTTTTCGAATGTAGGTATATTAACTAAAAGGCGGTGATTGCAGTCCGTTAACGCTCCACTGCCATAGCCTTAGTTCCTTGCCTTAGAATATTAGAAAAATTTAGTACAAAACTGGACAAGTCTTCTTCTTGAAGCATTAAATTCATTTTTCTCAAAACTGCGTTTTTTAAGTCAAAAAAAAAACAAAAAAAACAAAAAACAAAAATTTGAAGCTCTTTGAAAATTCGCAAATCATATTTAAACCTAAATTGTCACCAAGAATTTGTACTAACTGGAAGAATATTGTTCGATTTAAACTTGAGCTGTAAGCTTAGCGAGATTGCATGGAAAGCTTAACGCAAAGCTTACGTGTTATCTGGTTTGTTTCGAGCTCATCAAAGTACAAATGAAGTGATATCGTCGGCTTAGTGGAAAACTGTACCATTTCAGGTATTCGTTATAAACTGTACCATTTCGGTAAATTGTTTTAAAACATACCATTTCGAGAAAAAAAGTTTTTTGATTTTTTTCCAAGTTTGTCAACACTGCTGCTAGACATAAAATAAGGTTATGCTTTTTTAAAAAACGGTATCTTAAATATACTCTTGTTCATCTTTTCAATGTATTAATTCAAAATTTCTAATAATTTAAATTAATTGCTTGTTAATCATTAGAAATTCTTTAGTGCAACGCTTTTATAGATCTTCATCGAAATGGTATGTTTTATAACAAACTTTTGAAATGGTATAGTTTATAACGAATACCTGAAATGGTACAGTTTTCCACTAAGCCGACGATATAATGATTTTACTTGGATCGTGATACTTTTTTTATCAATAAATCTCCCTGTGTGGCATTTGATAGATTTTTTGTCTGCACTTAAACCATCCATGTATTGAATTATTGAATCTAATATGCCCAGTTTTGAAAGAACAGTTTGGAAAGCATCTTTTAATGAAACATAAGCTGCGAAAATGCTTTTCATTTCAAAACTAACACTTTCATCTTCTTTTGTAACGTAAGTAGGCTATTTTCCGATTTCGAAGAGTTGAGGAGATATGTAATAGTAAATTGCGATACAAGTTTGGAAAGATGAACATTTCCAAGTGGGATAGTTTCAGCACGAGCCGTAGACGAGTGAGACGCAGGCAAGTGCTGAAAATATCCCACTCGGAAATGTTCATCTTTCCAAACTCGTATCGCATTTTGCTTTTCATTACAAATGCTTGGATACGTCTTATGTATCATGTAACATTTATTGTTTTATTTTAGTAAAAACTGTAAAATAAAGTAGTGCGCCAATGTAAATACGAATTCTCATTGGTGGACGATAGTGCGCTGATGTAACTTTAAATCTTATTGGTTGAACAGTGGAAGTTTCTTTCAGTCTTCGGAAATGTGACACTTTCTAAAACAATAGAAAACTACGTTTTACATGCAGGTGTTAAGAAAAAACATTTTTCTTTTTGAATCGTAAATGTTCAGTTGAAAATTTAAAAAAATCTTTTGAATTTTCTAAAATAAATTGGGATTTTGAATAGGCCATCTCAGTTGAAATGGGCTTGACATGTTTTTCTATTTCTTTTTGAATAAATTAAATAAACTGCTTCGAAGTGAACTGTTTATCTATTTTTAACTGTTCATTATAATTTAAAATGAACCCAATGCATTGGAAGTAAAATTAACTTTCGTTTTCTGTTAATTATTAAAGTAAGAAATTAATAACAAATTAAATCGACTAAACGCGGTTAGTGGCATGGTTAGAATGTGAAATTATAATTTTATGTATTTTAAGAGATATAATTAAAAAATTGTATAAAAGTTAAAAAAGGTTGTTTTGTTTCTTCTAATAGGATTTAATCGAATTTTCATTAAAAATCTTATTGTATGGAATTCAATTTTTAATAATTAATTTAAATAAAATTTGATAGAATTTCCTTTAAAACACTGGATAAAAGTGTTGACTGTTGGACATTATTTCTAATAGAATTTAATAGAATTTTCATCAAAAAATCTTATTGGATTGGAAACAATTTTTAATATTGAATTTTGATAGAATTTGATAGGACTTTCTTTGAAATCAGTGGGACAAAGTAGGACAATTTTTAGATAGACAAATTATTGATTTGGATAAACTTCTTTTTAAAAGTATGTGATAGTAACTTATAGTAACTGTTAAAAATTTCGGATTTAGAAACACGATTAAAATGGAAAGAATTTTTTTTCTTTCCATTCCTAACAAATTTTTTAAACAGGGTGTGCACGCCTAATCCACACTTTTTTCATACTCACCTTGTACAGCCTTTGGAATAAAATTGTTGCTTCTGACTTGTTACGAAAATTAACCAATTAGAAATTTATTCGAAGCAACAACACACGTTGGAACTCAACATTGGCAATGATAGAAAGATTTATTTCAATTTTCACGGAAACAGCATCTATATTACTCAACATTCCAGAGTCTCCTGAAATGTTGAGTGTATCAGAACTGCAATTGGCTAATGAAATTATGAAAGTGTTTCAACCGCTTTACACCGTTACACGAGAACTGTGTGCAGAAAAGTATGTAACAAGCAACAAGATAATCCCATTAATTAATTGTTTGAAAAACGTATATATTAAGCTAAAAAATATTCTATAGTCTGAAACGTCCATTGCTTTGGTTGACCAAAGCAATGGTCAACAATAGACAGCAATGATCTTCATTCTATTTCAAACAGATTTGGCACAGTTGAGCATAACTTTATATTGTCTACTTCAACAATTTTAGATCCTCGGTTTTAAAAAATACACTGAAATGATCCATTAGCATATTCAAATGCAATTATTCGTATTTCTAACTCTTTGCGTGAAATGGACTAAAAAAGCATACAAAATGGTATCTATACTTCAGAGATGATAGTGATCTATGGTCTTTTCACGATAAGTTTACAAGCTTTTCGTGCTTACAGCACCAGCTATACGATACTTTGAGAATTGAATATTTTGTGGTCGATTTTTTAAAGAATCGAATCTATTCGTTTCGATTTCGATATGATTCAAAAATCGAACATCCCTAGACACGATTCGCATACGCGAGAAAACTAGGTAATGGTTGTTCTGATTTCTAAAGCGGCTTACATTTGACAATGTACGGAAATTATAGGGAGGTTCGGTTGTGGGCATGGTTCGGTTGTGGACTCCCCCGCAGAACTTTTGACAGAAATGATATTTGTCAAATCTGATAAACATCACGTGTGTGTTATGACCGAACGTAGTTTTTTATGCGAATGCAAAAGTGATTGGACACCTGTGCTTTTTAGTATATATAAATTAATTTTTCGACACATTGAAACTGACAGTATCGTGCAGTTGAAGTTCAGTGCGAGAGATCTTATATGTCCTTACATGGGAGAGAAGGGGAGATCGAAATGGGCAAAAAAACAGCTGGTCCCATGCGTTATTTTTTCCCATCGGAAAAAAGGCCGCCATTTTCATAGAAGTCGAACAAGTGAATGACTTTTACTCCCTGTCGTCAGATATCTGAAATCGATACTTTTGTATCTTTGGAATAAAAATTATCGTAAGTAACACGGGACTTAAAGGCTGCCAACTTATTTACGTACCTTGTTGCTTAATATACTATTACAAAATACTCGCACACACGTCACACTTACGCACATTAGACATTATTCACATATCAATTTACAAATACAATTTATCGGGGACAAAATAAAAATCTTTGCAAAGAGACAAAATTTTAAGTAGATCAAGGACCAACTCCAGTACAAAATGATACTTGTGCGACTTACCTCATCGTTGTTATTTTCCGTGTGTGAGGTCTAAAGTAGGTCCTAAATTTCGAATCGGAATATTTGACAAATAATAATTATTAAAACATTTCAGATATTTTCGTTCCCCTTATTTCCTGGAAACGAGGCAAATTACCTAAGATCACAAATTGCTCGAATAACTGCTTCCACCTCAATATCTCCAGTTGGTTATTTTAAGATTAAAGAAGGGGAAAATGAAAATGAGGAGGGAATCGAAAAAGAACAAATGAGTGGTAATTAATTTTGTCTGTTTTTGTGGAGAAAAACTTACCTTTGTTTTTCTACACTCAAACATATACTTATTTTTTTTAATTACGATTTCTCTTCTTATTAATGGTTTGCAAAGACAAATTTTCTTTTTAAATGCTAAATTTTCCTTTTACCAATTTATTATTTACTCTATGTTTAATGAATATTTAATCATTGTTCAGATGGAATTTTAACTAAAAATCCAGATTATGATCCCTATCCTGTCAAAGAATTGATTGATTTGTCTATGTCTAATTGGTGTCATCACAGTCCAATCATTTTAAAACAAGGACGTATTGTTCCTTGCAATTTAAATAAAAGTAAAGTTAATGTAAGTGACGTTTTATATACATTTCTTAAATCACATTAGGCGGTTGAAAAAATCGATTTTTTATTATGTAAATTGTTAGCTTATCAGTCGAAAAGTACGTTATTTATTTAAGTCTCAGCCTTCAATCACAAGGATTATTAATGGGCAATACAAACAAAATAAACTATAATAATTACAAAATATTATCATAATATTGAAACAATAGAAGAAATACTAAAAAAATATAAAGTTTGAAATACAGTAATATTATGATGTGTCCGAATAAAAAACGTGTTAGTTGATTAACAATTACTGAAATCGTATAGATGTGAAAATATCTAAATCAACAGAGGAATTTCTATAAAAGAAGTTAATAGTCTTTGTGATATTATACATTGTCGCATAGAAACTAGTATACCAAGAAGGTAAAACATTGAAAAAAAGTTGACAGTGTTGATTATTCTGAAGTTCGTTTTGCTTCATCACGTCAGGATGATTACGAACTTAGAGGCAGATTTTCAAATTACAAAATGGCGGCTAATATGTCGGTTGGATTTATAAAAACTTCTTGAATTTCCACAGAACTTAGTATCTGTGAGTTGTTGGACTTTGACAGATCACGGAATGACTCCGTTGCCCGGCGTCACCACGTGGAGATGCCTTGAATACAAGCCCACAAAAGAATTCGTGGTCAGTGACCTTAAAAACACCTAGATACCAAATTCTGTAAAAATTCAAATTTTTTTAATAAATTTAACCGCCATATTTTATCCGCCATTTTGTATCTTGAAAATCTGCCTTCAAATTTGTCATCAGCAACCCCAATAAACCCTCGATACCAAGATTGAGGTAAATCCGTCAATATTTATAGACTATTTTCTCTCACTGTTATAATAAGCGCGGGCAATTATACATGACGCGTATTGCTGTCTCTCTTCTCGCTAGAAAGAGAAGAAATATTTGGCGCTTCAAATTCGCACATCGGATCTCTCCTTTTACGTGCAAGAGAAAAATATTACAAGTTGCAGAAACCATCTTTATCATGCTCGATCCCCACAGTACTTACCCTAAGTAAAACGGTTATTTGAAAAAAAAGTTTTACAAAGAAATTGAATCACTTATAGGCAGTCGGTGAGTGCAAAAAGTACACAAAAATACAAACAGCAAAGTCTCAGTGGTTTCTGGTAGTTTAGGGGCTCCATATAAGAGCCCCATAGTTTGCTCTCGATTTCCGGTTGCGAAAAATGGTATAAACAATCGTCAAAGTTTGGAAAACGTAGCTTTTCGATGACTGTTACTTCCGGTTACATTTTAGAGGAAAAAGTTGTAATTAAAAGTTGTAGAGCTGGAAAATACCTTTCAAATGACGGGTCATACGTTAAAAAAGGTTAATTAGTTTAGTTGCAAATGAATTTAAACCATTACAAATAGCACTTTCTTAATTGTTGAATAACTTTGTTAATATGTTACATCCCGAGCGGAAAGCGAGGTTATTTTGAATTTTAATTATTATTTATTTTATTTCGGAGGAATGGTAGGCTGATTAAGTCAAGTTGGTAAAGCTTGACTATTTATTTTTTATGTGAGTACGTTGTTTTCTATCGATCCTACGGGGGTCGTCTTACAATTATTCCAAATTTAATTGTTAGATAATTACCTTTTCTTAAGAATTTTAGGATATTTAATAAATTTAACTCGAAAATTTAATGATTTTAAATTTTAAATGAAATATTTATTATCTTTGATTACAAGAAAGAATGAGATGTATAAATGTTGTTGTGTTTAAAATGTTAATACAATTTGTTTAAAATATAAACGGTACTTACAATTACCTCTGTTCAGAGGGCAGGTACAAAGATGATTTTTGACAAGGAATATAATTCCTATAGTCGTTGACACTGTGAGGTTTTACAACTCTTTAAAAAGAACGGTTGCGACTTTGTCACAGTTTTTAGTTCTTATTTTCCGAAAGCACACACGTCACGTTTGCAATTCGTATCTCGAAAATAAACTAGGTTACGACGGATAATCTATTATTTAATTTTGAGAACACCGACTCACAAATCTGGCGATAATGAATACTTGCTCAATATTTTAGAGCAACGAGTAAACTTTATACTGTTTGAAAGTGTAAGATTTACGGCCAAAATTATGAATTCCGAAGGGTCAAGCTTAAAGATGAAATTGTCACGACGCGAACGTAGCGATGACTTTGTATCGAAATAAACTGACGGATGACAATGGATTTGCATGGGGTTTTATAGTAGCAAATCTTCCTTAGTGGGAGACAAAAGATCAAAGATCATCCCCATCTCCAAGCTTGATTTCTAGATCATCCCAAGAATTGAGTCACTTCTTGGAGCTTTGTGACCACCTGCATCACATATAGTATATCGCGAGTATCACTATTCCATGGGATAGTAAACATTCCCAGGAAGAAAACTAAGCTTGCATCTTCGCAATATACTTATGTGAGTCAAGTCCACTCATAATGCGTATATAAAATTATTTATAATTTATATATGTGTGCATTTTCATATCGAGTCTCATAGCTTCAGTATCTATGAAGAGTATTGAATTTTGTAAACTATGAGGATCGATATAAAGATGAACTATTTTGAAATACATTCCATGCTCTATGCAGCTGCAATATAATTCTTAGAAAGTAATGCATAGAGAACAGAAAATACATTTGTTTGTGATATTGAAATCATATTTGAATTTTGGGATCATAATATTAATTTTGAAACAAGAATATTGCGTGAGAAGTAATCAGCCAGTTAAATAATATTTATTTAATTGTTGCTGTTCTGTATCAAAATTTTGTAATTATATTTATTTAAAGGTTAATTTAATGTTTGTGAATTTGATAAAAGTAATAGTATTATTTCTCTAATATTTTTCTTATTAATTTTTATATCTATTGTCTTTCTATTATTTTTATTTCAAACGCAATATCTATTTTCTTAACACTTTTCATATGCGATCATCAACAATGATTCATCGCTAATGTCTTTAGTTTCAAAGAGAGAATTTTGTTACTGGGATGTAACAAATAATTATCGAATTTGTTTATAACTTCCCAGAAATATTCTCCTTGCGAGGCAAAATAAATTCCAAAAAAATTCAACTTCATCGGATAAATAGTTTATGCATAATTCGATTTGTTAACTAAAAACATGTAATTTTTTAATGGAATTTCCCCACTTTTGGACATGCGAATTTCGTTTTTTTTCTTGTAAAGTACACTCAAGGAGTCAAACTTTCATAACAGTTAACCACTTCACTGGCAGGGCGTTCCAAATGGCGTTCCACGCGCCGAGGCCCAGACTGGCAAAAACACCGAAATGGCGTTCCTAAAAAAACTCTTTTTTTAAAGAGTGTACACCACATTTAACTATTGTAAAGCAATATTTCTATAGTTTAGACATCAGAGAACAAGATTATCACAATAAAAATTTTAGTTTTTGTGATTTTCAACGCTTTTCCGAACGTTCAAATCGGCTGTTTTTAATAATTTTCAACAAATGGCGTTCCACTTTTTTTCAATTTTTACGCAATATAACTCGTATTTTTATTAAAAAAAGATATTTATATACAATATTATAATATAATAATATAATAATATAATAAAAATAATAACTATAACTATTATTTATCATTATAAATAGTAATATTATACGTATATGTATATACATGTATATATATATCTATAAAATTAAAATTTTTGCTATAATAATAATAATAATAATAATAATAATAATAATAATAATAATAATAATAATAATAATAATAATAATAATAATAATAATAATAATAATAATAATAATAATAATAATAATAATAATAATAATAATAATAATAATAATAATAATAATAATAATAATAATAATAATTATTTTTTTTTTTAAAATCCATTTATATAATGGAAATAATTTAAAAAATTTTATATAAAATATTCAAATTTCTTTCAAGAAAATATATTATAAAATATAGTATTTTTTTCTAAAAGATATAAATTTTTGATTTTTCAGTAATCAATGCATTTGCTAGAGAGTTAAATCTCCACCCAGAGCACGCCACGTGGAGGCTGCAATGATAAGTTTTTGTGCTCCATTTTTTTTTTAATTTTTTTTTAATTTTTTTTTTTAAATATTTTTTAATTTTTTTTTTGTTTTTAACTATTTTTTATTTTTTTTTGTTTTTAACTATTTTGAAATTTTTTTTTTGTTTTTAACTATTTTTTAATGTTTTTTTGTTTTATTTAATTTTTTTTAAAATAACTTTTTGGGTTTTATTTGTTTAATTATTAATTTAATAAATTTTTTGAATTTTTCGAAGTATAATTTTCTGAAAATATTATCAGTATCATTCTTACTCTGAATGTTTTTCCATTTCATCAAAACATGATTTACAAAGAGGCATTTCACATACGTTACAAATCCATGTAGTGTCAGTTCTAATTTTTTTTTCTGAGCACTTTTCACATCTTAATCTCTTTCGTTTGATTTTACCATTTGAAGGAATTTTTGTTAGTTTGTGAGTCTGTGAGGTTTTTTTGTTTCTCGGTTTCTTAGCTGTTTTTCTTTGGACTCCATATTCTTGCAATATCTCTCGAGCAAGTTGCAGCCTAAACTCACAATGACTTTTTTTTTCGTCGTTATGCAAAATATTATAAACAATATTGGCATTAAATATTGCCATGTCCAATAAATTTAATGCGACTTTTTGATACCAGCGGTAAGTTTTTCTTTGGACCTCATAGGGCTTTATTATTTGGTCGCATTTATCGACACCCCCCATATTGCTATTATAAATTGCGACTACTTTTGGTTTTTTGATTGCTTGACCTGTTTTGTGGTCGGTTCTACCAGTTTCGATGAATTCTGAACCAGGAAGCGTACTTAACATGGTGACAACTTTCTTGTCTTTCCAAATAACTACTAAAAGGTTATTTGAATGAAATGTCACCACTGTATTTCGAGCTAGTTTGTTTAACTTCATTCCCTTCGTAATTGGCATTTTTTTTCGGTTGGTTCTAACGGTACCAATAACGTTATTTTTTTGCTCATACAATTTGGCAAATAACGTAGGAGAACTGTACCAATTGTCGATGAATAGAATCCTTCCCTGGCCATTCAAATCATCTAGCAATTTCATTACTACTTTCCCAGAGATTCCTATCATTTTACTCTCATCTTCAGGATCTTTACCAATGTAAACTGATGCATTATATATATATCCATTAACAGAATCACAACATTTATATATTTTAATGCCGAAACGTGATCTTTTGCTCAAATTACATTGCTTGAATGATAAACGCCCTTTAAATTTTAATAATGATTCGTCAATGCTAATTTTTTCCCCTGGCCTATAAGCTATTTTAAATTTTTCTATCATCATTTCAAATAAAGGTCTTATTTTTCGTAACTTGTCAATCGATTCGTCTTCAGAATAATGTAAATATCTACTTATTGCTTGAAATCTTTTTAAAGACATATATTGTCCAAACACAGGGGTAAACAACAAGGGGTCATTTGATTAGTACATTTCATAAGAAGGTTTTTTTATTAATCCCATTAAAATTACTAACCCATAATACGTGTACAATTCGGAAACAGAAATATTTTTCCAAGATAGAATTCTGGAATTGCCCTTTAAAATGTTTGATTCATTTAGTAAATCAA